GGGGGGGGGGGGGGCGTATACAGAGAAGGCAAATCCTGCGAAGCGACCCGATGTATGGTTCCAAAGGCGGAGGTACATCGCCCCCTCTCAGCAATAACGCGCACTACACTCACGGGACTTGTGAACGGAGTAGTTGATACTCCCGGACCACCGAAATACTCCACTCTCTCACTACTTTGTTACAGAGTAATCTAATATACTTTATGGTTTGCTAGTTTACCGTTTGTTTTCTGACGTAAAACTAAACACATAATGGTACACTTAATACCCTTGCGTGTGTTTTGAATATTTTGGGCCTGCTTCGCTATTAACACAACAAATAAAACTTGCTCGTCAATTCAATGTATTAAAGTTTAGAAACATGGAAACACAATAAATAAGTGAAACAATACTCAAAAAAGAAAATAACTCTTTCTAAACCGTATTTTGTTCAATTAATATAAAAATTGTGTATTACAACTAAAGATTACAATGCATATGCTTTTGAAGGAAGGCAAATTTGAAAGTGTTACGAATTCTCGTTTAGGTCAACAAAGAACAGTAGAGAGAACTGAAAACCATGATTTGTATGCACCACGGGCGTTACATGATGTTTTTGTTCCGAGTGCGGTTTCGAATCCCGAAGTTCTCTTCACCAATTAATTAATAAATGATATAGATCTACCTATCGCCCTATATACAGACGTGTTTACATTCTGTTCATAAACAGCTAGACGCCAAAAGTTTGATTTGAAAAACTTCATCCCCCACATATACTGTTTAAAGCTCATTTTAAAGCTTGGAGTACTTTTTTCACTTCAATTTTTCTTTTATTCAATGATTCTATAGAAATAAATATTCTATATTGTGTTTTATTCCAATTCTTAAAACAGTGTTTGCGTTGACTCTTTTTCAACTAATTTAATTCACCAATTAATAAATTGCATATGCAATATATTTATAATGTTATATTGTAAAATGATTTTGTGCAGTCCGATTTCTGCAGAAAAAAATTAACTCTCATGGAACGGTCTATAATCGAATATTAAAAGTGTGTGTTTTAAAATTATGTAAATTCTGTGTCGTAACTAGGATAAAATGTATCATGGCAGTAACACATGTGACTGTCACTAACACCATTCAGCCAATGGCTGTGTTAATGAAGTCTTATGTTCTCACCATCGGACTCCTCAGTAACTGAATGTTAAAAACGCTAACACCAGACTTCCTCTAAGCACTGGCCCTTCCTCTCCTTCAGGCACACACACCGCGTCCATCTGTTGGAGGCCGCGTGACCGGCAGTAAACACACACTCAGGAAATACACACGCTGTCGAAAGTCGCGCCAATTGCTTCTGATGCTTTCTTTTCGCCACTCGCGCCTCTAAGCGCCAAGAACCTCACAAAATATACAGTTCTTCCGCTTTTCCAGGCGATCACGTAAGCAAACAAGGGAGGGAAACCAAACAAATAGGAGCTCAAGAAAGCAGTGGAATTACCCACGCGGAAGGGGTCCAGAACAATTCAACAGATGTTCCGAACTTGGTTTTTTGATTGATTGGTGATTCCGGGCGCGTCAACTGCTAAGGTCATTAGTCCCGTAAGTGCACGTTTTTCCTCGGAAAGTGGCAGTGATCTCCCCCTGCTAAATCATGAGATTTAGAGACTTCCCATCGGCTAGCGGGGTATCGCCCCAACCTTGACAAGCTCTCAGCTCCCGACCGGCCTCTCGACATGTGTGATAGCGTTGTACATGTAAGTTTGTGTGTGTGTAAATAAGGAGTAAGAATAGGGCAAGGAAGAGGAAGGAAATAAGTAAATATGAATCTTTAAAATGACGTAAAAATAAAATCTCATATGTACAACGGTATTTAACTGGTTCTAATGATCGAGCAATGGACAAATTATTAATGTTAAAAGTTAATAAAGTGGATATAAAAACATCGATGCTTCCGTGTCGATGTATTTTTAATTCAGAAGTTATCACTTGTTTTCACTTCACAACATAGATATTTTTAAAAACGCAGCTGCTTTGTTGACGTTATTGCATCCCAACTACTGAGTATCTTTTGTTTCTGGAATTCACATCCCAGAACGGAAGTATTTTTTCCTTAAAATGTGAATTTTCTTAAATTAAAGAGGTCACAATAACGCAACCATCTAGTGTTTACTTCAATGCATGTGGACCGGGACCAATAATTTTGGTCTCCTCCTTTCTCAGAAAATCCCCTGCTGTCCAAGCGAGGGGCTGTGGTACGCAGCGCGGCCCGTGCCCTCTGGCAGCGGCCTCGACCTCGCCCCGGGAGCGCCGCAGGGGGCCGAGGAAGAGGGCGCCATTGTCTGTGCTCGCGACCGCGTCTAAGGTCTCTGGGGGGCGGTCGGCCGTCTCGCCTCCCAGGGCTCAAATGGCGCCACTGCGCCGCCTCTGACCCGCCTCTGACCCGGAGGTGGCTCAGGGCACCAACCAATGTCACTGCTCTGTCTTCGTCGGGAGGTTCAACCCCCCGACGGGAGATGGATAGCTAAGTTGAATTCAGGAGGAGAATTTTAGCAGTCGGCTGCTCTGATCGGTAGTTTCTCGTGGTTTCTTCGATCAATATCAGGAAGGTGCCGGAGTAGTTCCCTAAGAAACGGGCCACGAATCGTGATCTTTCCTTCCTTTGCTTTGTCCTATCCTCACCCCATACTTACACACACTCACACTAACAATAATAAGTTTTTCAACTTCATTTGAAGCACATTCACTCAAAAATGCTATAGTTTTTACAACCCGCTGGAAATGTGCATATTAACAGTGTGAGAGTTATGTAAAATCTTGTATATACTCCGTATGTATGTACGCATACGAGAAAGTAAAAACATTTTTTTCTTTGAGTGCGCTGAAGGCTCCGAATGCAAAAGCTATCGTACATTATGGGATTCGCTCGCAATTCAGCGCGAAGAACAAAGTTGCAAGACATACAAATTCGACGAGATACGTTGTATTTGTACTTCCAAAAATTATCAATAAACCCAAAATAAAATAGTAAAGACAATTTTATATTTTTTCATAATCTCTTTAGGTAGGCGCCGCCTTTAAGATACTCTCCTGCATGTTATAGCAAGTAGGCTTAATTGCATCAGCAATCGAGATATATATTTGAAGATCTTTGGAAAGTGACATATCAGCATTTCTATTTGTTCTCTAGTTTTTAGTATCAGTTTGTTTTCAACCCTCCTAATACTGTGTCTGATACTGACAGCTGCATTTCTGGTAAGGAATTGTTGTGAGAACCTTCATTTATACACTGCTCTGGTGCGCAGTGGTTAGAATTGTTATATAGTTCCAGACTCATTAATCAAGCAGCTCGATATTGCAAATTCAGCATGGCCTGTTGCGATCCAATGGAATCAACGAAAATCAGGGCAATTTCAAGCGATCCTTGTTCTATCCGTGGAAGAAAATTTTAAAAATGAGCGAATTTCGGGAAAATAATTTTTTTATAAATTGCAATTTTCTAAAAAAAATACGTCAAAACTATTCGTTAAAGAAG